TGATCTGCTCAGGTCCCTTCCAACCCTAGAAACTATGAAGTAGGTGGCTTTTGGAGAATGAGACAAAGTCATTTTACATTCTATAAATGCAGCAGAGCAAGGCAATCCTTACTTGTTTATTTCTGGATTAAAAGTTTAAGGGTTCAACCCTGCCTTGTTTTGCAGGCATCTGGTGAAGTATTGAGAGTAAGAGCTCTCAGCATGGCATAGACCTGGGTCCTACCTCAGTACCCCCTGATGCAAATAGCTATAGCAAGATGAGTGATAGGGTTTTCAGTGGGGATCACCCATACATGATACCTCATTAACTGGCACCAAGGGATTAAATATAGGAGAGGGAAAATTCATATTTTCTAGAGAGAGATTGGATTTCCTGCATCTGAAGCTCCCTTTACAACACCATGATTGGAATCAAGTTACAGGATTTAATGGAACTTGAATCATCTCTCTCTGTCTTGACCCCAGCTGACTTCCTGCCCTTGGGCAGGGGGCTGGACCCGATGATCTTGTGAGGTCCCTTCAAGCCCTAATGTCTATGAACCTATGAACAGCACCAGGCACATCCTCTGCTCAGTAAATACTGGCACTCCTGACTCGCTTTTTGAACAGTCTGTTTCACAGACACATGGCGGGGGGGCGGAATGATGGGGGACAGCACTGAACTTGTTAAGAAAGTCTTCTGCTGCCTGCTTAACTGTCAGCTGGTGTCTTCAGGAAAACATGGCATTGAAATGTTGGCCTTTGAAAACAGGATCTTTGATTTCTTAAGAGGTTTGCTGCTTGAGGGGCTTCCTGAAAGGCAGCCTCAGGTGGTCAAAGTGGGGCGCCAGGATGCATATCACACTTTGCAGACGGTATCAGCAGCTACAATCTGTTGCTTAAGTCTGTTTCAGAAATCAGTTAACGTTAGTTCGTGCTGCTGTGTACCTTCTAAAATCCACTCAAGTGTGGATTTAGGTGCTCTTTTAGAAGTAGGCAGGCTGCACAGCATAGTGCTGGGAGACCATGGATTATACCCTGTTTGAGGGAAAGCAGTCACTTGTCATGCTAATCACTTTTTCTTATTTACCAACCTAGGAGAGAGGCATTGGCTATTTAAAACTTCTTCAGCATCTACCTGGTCCTGCTTTTTCCTTCACTGCCTGCATCTCTGAGAGGAGAAAGAGCCCTGTCAAGTCATGAGTAACATAATGAGCAATAGGCTATTGGTCCCAGGCTTCTGCTTTCGCAGTTTCCCAGAAACCACATTTCAGATCCTGCAGCACACTGTTTGTACTCTTAGTTGTTTCAAAGTCTTAAAGAATTAGACAAAATAAGCTTTTGTGCTGAGATTTCCCAGGTCACACGTATCTGCCCTTTTTTTACTATTGGATTAATACATTTAAACAATACATTCTTGCCTTTTCAAAATAACAAGATGCTCATAATTGAGTTATGTACATTTTCAGTCCACACGATTACATTTTAAGAAATAAAGACACATTCTTCATGGCCTTGAGATTAGTTTTATTATAATACCTGTTAAAAATGAGTTTCTTTCATCCAAGTCATCATTACTCTTTTTCTGTGTTTCAGGACAGGAGGATTATGATCGGCTACGGCCACTTTCTTACCAGAATGCAAATGTGGTCTTAATTTGTTATGATGTTATGAGCCCTACCAGCTATGATAACGTTTTAATTAAGGTAAGAGACCTTCCCTCATAATTGTCTGACCCTTTCATATGAAATGTAATATATTAGCTGGGTGCCAAGATGACCCATCTATAAATGTGATGCTTTTGGCAAGCCAAGTCCCCAGTATTATAATGGATAAATTGGTTTATCACCACACATGCAGCAATGGGCCTAAACCAGAGGCGGGCTTACTGAGTTTTGGCAAGTCATCGAGGGCCACATGACAGGCAGCCCAGGGTAGATAAATATTAATTTTCTAAATCTTTTAGGGGCCTCACAGCTCGGACAGAATGGCCTGGCAGGCCGTATCCAGTCCCCAGGCTGCACCTTGCCCACCCCTGACCTAAACCAAAGTGCTTGAATCTGGACCTCAGCTGCTCCAAGGTTCTGAACTGAGGGCTGGTTTTGTATGTGAAATGAAAAGAGCAATAAACGATCTAAAAATGAGAGAGCACAGAATGGTAACATTAAATTTTACCTTCTCTCTCCAAGCAGTCCCTAGTCCTGGCTTTCAAATGATTTGTGAGCCCTTGCTGCAAGGTGGGATAGGACATCAGGATGCCCAGCACCTTGTTGGGTAGGATCCACCATCAGAAAGACAAAGTTCAAGGAGGTACTGCCAGTTTCTGGGTGCTGAGAGAGAATTTACATTTCTAGAATTGTGTGTGGTGGGGAGAGGTCCAATTTACTCTTCAGTGTTTAATGGCTTCCTTAAAAATGAGAAGTCTTCTTCATGCTGAGTGTTGTCCTCCTATTTCTGGGCCTGCTGCTGTCATGGAGTACTGTAATTGTTACCATAGAGAAGTAAGGCTGGACGGAAAACATATCTGCACGAGCTTTAAACCAGCCAGCTCGAGTAACGGTTAACAACATAGCTTCGTCATCAGCACAGAGCTCAGTGTGCCCTAGTCTTTATTTACCCCAGGTCTCAGGCAGATTTTGCAGCTACTTTGCAATTAACATGGTTATATCTATGCAAATGTAGTCACTGACAGGCCTGCAGCTGGTTAGAGAGGAGCCTAATGATCTGTAAAGCCACACTGTCAGACTTTAGGTCCAAAATATGAACTATAGTTGCTTAGAATGATCATAAATTAGGGAGAATTCCATTGTAAATTGTAAATCTGGATTATAAATTATAGTTAGTTACAATTCACTGTTCTACTCTTGACTTTAAAGAAAGAAAAATCTATTTTGTTCTTTGCAGATCTTATAAAGAGCTCTGCATTCTTGTTTTCCCCTCTCTCTTCATGCAACACAAGTGTCAGTGCTGCAGTCATTCCTGCTGCCAGTCTAGAAATAAGAGGACAACACTCAGCATGAAGACGACTTCTAATTTTTAAGGAAGCCATTAAACACTGAAGAGTGAATTGGCCCGCCCTCCAATTCTACAAATGTAAAATTGTCAGTGTCTCTTTAACGTATTTAAGCAGTTTTCTGCTCCATCTGCTTCAAGATGGCCCAGTATGATAATGCCAAATGTGTGTGGAACAGAGGCTGGTTTTATTCTAAGTTTAAGCACCTATTTGTATCTGTTGAGTTTAGCATTTCTACTCTTTGTGATACTGCAAAGTTTAGGAGCTTCTGTAACTAAAACCAAATTAACAAAGGTAAATGAAAGTCCTGGTGCTGATTCCACAGGTGACTTCAGAGCATTCTGAGCTTACACTAGTGTAAGCAAGCTGTGGCAGACTTCATTTTACTTCCAGGTTTGCACAGCATCCAGTCCTGTTTGGGGCTTCATTATGTCAGTTAAATGCAGCTTTCTCTAGCACTTGACTTACAGGAGAGAGAGCACTTCAGTATTAGCTTCAATAATGTTTACATACCAGTCTGTTTATGTAGGGGTCAAATCCGGCTTTCTTGAAGTCATTAGGAATATTGTCTTGCCCAAGTCTTGGTTGGGAATACAAGTTTGTGCTTTGAAAAAGCAGTTAGCTTTTGCAGACTACTCCATCTTGACCTGAGCACATACTCCAAAAGATATGCAAGAGGGGATATAGAAACAGCACTGCAAGAGTTAACGCTCTGTAGTCACAGAACTATTAATCACTGATTCTTTAATGGAAAGAGGCTTTCCACATTTTTGCCAGGGAGGTGGTGATACATCTATAAACACTTGCTTAAACAACACATTACTATCCCACTCCATTCACAGCATGGGATGAAGGACTTCTTTACCTTTCTGGACTTTAGATGTACATAAAACACTGACTTTGCTCCTTGGCATTATCATTCTAACTTTTTTTAAATGTTTCCTTTTCTGCCACCAGTGGTATCCTGAAGTCAGTCACTTCTGCCGGGGCGTCCCCTTAGTACTCATCGGCTGCAAAACAGACCTTCGAAAAGACAAGGAACATTTACGGAAACTCAGGTCTTCTCAACAGGAACCCATCACATATACCCAGGTAAAGACAACGGCATTTAAAAGGTCTCCCTACTTTACTGTAATAGGGAATGGTCTCAGTGATCAGGAATAGCAACTACAGGTAGCAAAGGGACACCCAGGCTATTCCAAAAGCAGGTAAACTGGATAAGCTGGTGATTTGGATACTTTAGCATAAATTGTGTGGGGTTGTATGTGAGGTTTTATGTCCTTTTCTGGAAGTAGGGGGATTAAACATGGCAACTAAACAAAAGACACTAGATGTGTTTGGAGAAGGTTCTAGATGCATTGAGATATTTTTAGAGGGGTAATTCAAAAATGTCCAAATCTGGAAAAAAGGGTTTCCTCCTTAGGAAGAAGAGAGGTTGGCTTGGCTCTTTGTGGGCTTTTTAATTCCTATTGAGATGCAGGCCACAGAGAATAGTCTATTTCATATTATTGGTCCTGCCTTGTTTTAAAAAAAAAAAAAAAAGCATGTCTCTTTTGCTGCCATGAACTCATAGATGGCTTAGACAAGCCACTGAGACTGCATGGACTTCCTCCACTTTTTTGTTTTTTAATAGTGTATTGCCTCCATTAGTGACATTTTGACCTTGGTTGTGATAAAGTTTAAATACATTAGGATACAACCTATGGGATAGAAACACTGAATAGTAAGTCTGCAAGAACTGTTTTTTAGTCCCTTTTTGAAATAAAGCATTTCAAGAAAAATGTCAGAAAACATTTTTTGGAGGCAAAAATATTCACTCTCAAATTGTGGCTCAAAAGAAGTATGTTGCTTCAACAAGCTACTGCTTATCAGTGCTTAAAAACATCACACTTTGCATGGTCAAATATCTGCCATCCATGGACCCAAAAGCACATTACTAGGAGGACTTGGGTGAATATTGACTTCCTCATTTTACACATAGGGAAAATTAGCCAGGCGGGTGAACTGCCTGTCCTGCATCTCACAGAAAGACTTCTTGTCTGCCTGCTCTTATTTTGCCTCAGGATACCTTTTCCCTTCTTGTCAGAGGTCAAGGAGACATTTTAGCAACATTGCAGACTATTCTGTGTTCAGGTTTGGACAAGTTCAATTCATAGTGTAGCATGGTTATGCAATATTAATAAGGGGAACTGTCTACTGCTAAATAAACACTGTGAAAAGAGACTAGTGCTGCTTCATTGTTAACCTGTTCTGCTTTTCAATCATTCCTCCTCAACTCCAAGAAGATATTTTTTTGTTTTATTAGTTTGTGAATTCCTGCAAATAGTCTCATATGGGCTTACTGCCTGTCATCTCCAACAGCAAACAGGAATGACTTATTTCAGCTCACAGTGTACCATGAGTCTTGAAACCATTACTTCCAAATTGGAGAAGCTTATGAAATCATGTTTGTGTTTTGGAGCACCAACAGATGTCTTCTTTGGAGCAGGATCAGTTGCACCAGGATGTCCCCCAGCACAACTGATCTGCTTTCTGTGGCATCCATGAACATAACTCGGGAAGCTGTCCCACAGGGCCAGGCCCAGGGGCTCTGTCATTTGCAGAGACGCACCCTGAGTTGGGGCATGGCCTATGATGCATGTGCTTGGGGAATCCCCTGCTAGCACAAACTAGTACTAGGTATAGTTGAAGTCACAGATGTGGGCATTTGTGGTGCAACAGGGTTGTAACATCTTTTGGCTTTTGTGCCACCATAAAAATGTTCATGGTGGCACTAAGGTGACATCTGATTGCAGCCAGAGAGTCTGCCACTATGATTTATAAAGACCTAGATCAAACTCTTCAGACCCTTTACACGCAAGAAAACTAAAATTTCTTACAGTAGCATTCAGGTGCTCCAACAAGACAGCCTCATTCAACTTGAAATCTAGAACTATTGCTTTGCCCTCTAAATATCTTGGAGCAAGTCTGAGCTGGGAGCAGATACCTCACAAGCTCCTGTAGGAGCTCACTCATGCAGTACATGAGACTTCTGATTCCAGGCACAGAAAAGCTGAGAATTTTGGAATCAAAACAGCAGTTTGTCCACTGCTGAAGCCCACTGATGTATGAAAGCAGAAAATCCTCATGAAAAGTTGTGATCAGGTCAACTTTACTGTACTAGATAAAGATTACAATCCCCACCTTCCAGTGCTGATCTGAGAAATTGGGTGATAATTTGTACATCTGCTTATGAGAACTAGCATTCCGTTCAGGGATACACTTTGAGAAACTGTGTCCTTCAGCTCACAAGTAGGCAGAGCCAGCGCTAAGAATTTTCTGCTGCATCATACAGCTAAGCTGGCAACTTCATTAAAATTGTAAAAAGCAGTAGTTTCTCTATACAGTCCTTCATAATTTTACTAATACCACTTGTTCCTTACCCCACAAACAGAAGGATCTGCTTCCATCATATAAAAGCCTGTTCTTAATTATTCACTTCTCTCTACTTTAAGTCCAAGTTAACTTGTATATTTTTCCTTCTAGGGGGAAGCAACCTGTCGCCAAATGAATGCAGAAGTTTATCTGGAGTGTTCAGCTAAATTTCGTGAAAATGTAGAGGATGTTTTTAAAGAAGCAACAACTATTGCACTGAATGCCATAAAAAAAGCCAAGCGCCAAAAGAAACAGAAACGGTGCTCAATATTATGATCCAGATCTCTAGGACTGTAAAGAACTTCCAACCACTTGAACCGCATATTACCAAATAGTTCAGTGTCAGAGACCATTACATGTTTTTATTCCTGCTTTGGTTTTGTTTTTAAAAATTGATTTTCCTCCTATTTTTGCACTTCTGTTGTACTTGTCATGATGACTTGAAAGCATTTTTTCCCTATTTGTTAATGGTGGACATCTGGCTTTTACTCCCAACCACAAATGACCATCAGCCTGCTATCTTTTAATTGTGTGCTGGCTGCTTGACTGCTGGTGCTTGTACTGCTTAACGTTTTTTCCCACCCCCCTCTAAAAAGTAGCCCTTGACATTTATGGCTTTGATTTATTGTGACTGTTCACCAACAGACTAATTTAGAAAGGGTAGAACTGAGTACTTTTCTCTAAGGAAAAGCAAAGTTAGAGCAGACTGCCAATCACAATCAGGGAAGACAGAAATCAGGTTCTGTTCTGATGTGTTCCGAGTTGTATTTATAGCAACAGTAGTATGAAACCACCTCAAGCAACTTCCCCAACTATGCATACAGACAGTTCTGCTCTAGCTGTATTACAAGGGCAGCTCTGCAAAGCTACTGCCCTAGAAGCCTCTTTGTCAGCTTTATGGTAAGGGATGTGTTCAACACCACTGGTTATAGTGTACTCAACACCATTCAAAACAACACCGAAATGATGAACCCTGTTAAAGTAGATACTTAGTCCCCCGAGAGGGAGACCTTACGTGCAATATGGGCAAAACTAGTTTTGCAATAAACAAGTGCAATTGACTCCATATACAGTGTCTGTTTTAACATAAATAGGAATTGCATGTTTATTACGTGGTGAAATCATCCTTGCTGCCTCAAGCTGAATTTCCATTTCACTGATGTTTGCTCAGTAATGGCTGCAGGTATCCCAGCTATTTTTCACTTAAGTCAGAGGGAACCTCCTGCTCAGGAAACTAACAGCTGATCTTGTCTGCAAGTCATAGCGTGTCAAACACTGCACATTAAAAAGACATGTGTAGCCTGAAAATTCAATATTTTAAGTTAGAAACAGCAAGTTTTATAACTGATTTCTCTTCATTTGGTTGCATAACACAGTGTTATGCGATGGACCACTCCAAAGGACTTTCCTGTTTCTTTTGGATGGGATTCAAAGGTTGTTAAACTTGATCCTCAGATTTTTGGAGACATGGTTGAGGTTCAGTTAAGATGCACAGAGGCCTCTATGTAGCTTATAATGGAATACTCTGTAAATTGAGAGACACACTTAGTCTAGAAAGGATGAATCAACCAATGTTGAGTTCGAGTGCTATGCCACACTCGTTAAGGAAAAAGACATTTATCCCAGTAACATCTGTGCTTAGTAATGAGGAATTAAAAATGTTAATACAGGGCAAGCTGTAATTTATAAGTAAAGAGCTGAGCCAGAATCACAGGCATTTCTTTTAAACTTTGTCATTCTGCAGAATACTATTAACCTAATCACATGGAACGTGAAGTTAGGTTACCTGCTAAAAATTCAAGTTTGTTTTTTCTTAGAAATGACAAGCTTTATTGGTCAGATCCCATAGGATCTAGGATTATTCTCAAAGTGAGCAGCAATTTGCTTTTCAGACATGAAGGGTCTAAGAAAGCAAGCTTACAGGATATACAAGGTTTAAGCCAGTGGTATTGTAAAGTAGAGTGCAACAGTTGTTTAAAATACGTGAACTGCAATTTATTATTCACACTATAACCAATACCCACGTATCAGCTTATTTTTCTGGGGAGAAAAAAACAAACTATCAAATGTTACATCTTTTTGCACAAATTCATTGAGTGGTATATATTAACAAGTATAAAACAATAAGATGTCAGGAAACAGTTTTGCTAGCATTGTGGGAACAAATGGAATGGAACAATTGAGAGCCTGTAATGCACGTATATTTCTATATGATCATGTTAAGAGGCCCATTTTAAACATCACCACATTTGGCCAAAGTCAGTTCCAATGTGTGCCTTGTGCTAACCCAAGGGAGGTCACTGCATTTGAACAGCATATAGGTCAGGACACAGCATCTACAAATTGTTTTAGGACACGTAGGCATTTATGGAACACAACTCAGTTAGCTGCAGCTGAATAAGCAAGTTTGAAGTCAGAAAGCCAAGAAACAAAAAGGAATGAATGTGAACAAGTATCACCTTCCCTTCGACGTTTCTGCCGGAGGAAGATTTAAGTTTGATTAAACTGAGCTGGTGACTCAAGATCCCATGTAAAGGAAAAAGTGCAGGTGAAGGTATTAATACTTCTCATCAGTTCTGTTTCCACATATGCTGCATGTGTCTTTCAATAACGGCATTAGGAGTAAAAGTAATTAGATACTTACTGCCACTGTTCAGACATTTTCAGGAAGAATGTTTCAGAAAACCTCAGAATCTAGAAACTATTGAAAAAAGGTAGTGAAACAGCTGTGTATTGTATTATTTATTCTGGGCCCTTTTCAGGGTTGAACAGATTACCTGATCTCTCTGGATGAATATCAACAGTCTTCCCTGCAAACAAAGTCAGTCACAAAACATAATATTTAAGCCATTCATTTTCTTAAAAAATAAATGGGTGTCTGTTCTGTTTCTTAAATAATTTTTTAACGTGTATAGAGCAGCAAGATGTACAGAGATCACCAAGGTTTTCCACAGTACACATGAGTTAGCATATGTCACTGAAAAACGTGTTTCAGAAAGCTTTCAAGGCAGCAGCTGGTCTGCTTTACTGGTTGACCATAAGCATTTAAAAGTTTTAATAGTGCAGTACCTGGGGCTCCAGAAATGGCGCAGAACAGGAAAAAAATGAAGATCATTACGAGAAATGGAATTACAGTAGACGTCACTTTCTCCCAATACTTACATTTCTTCTGGCAGGTGCATGCTGCTGTATACATACAAAGAAAACAAAACAAAACAAAAAGCAAAAATGTTCTGTATTAAATATACATAAATAGTAGGACTGCAGATCGGAGAGCAGTGCTTGCATAATACTGTACAGCAGGCTGTGCTGGGAGAGTTCATGTTCTTGTCATAACACCAACAGGATTCTTTCCAAGGTTTATTTGCAATATAGCTGCAGTTTAAATGGTCCGGTCTGAAAAAAAACCACCAGTAGGAGTAGGCAGATGAGAATCCAAATTTGACTGTCCATCCCTGCCAGAGTTTCACAGTTTCTTCATTTTGCTTTTGTTTTTCTGAAGTTTAGTGTGCACAACCTTTAAAGTAGTAAGGAAGTTTCCAAGAAAAAGCAGCAGAAACGTAAGAGCCAGGACAAAAACCTGGGGGAGGAAAAAGGATAAAACAGTGATCATCTCTTATAGAAAGATATTCTGAGAGCAGCAAAATCTTACACACACTTTAATATTGGTGGTTCTGACAAAGCATCATTTGACAAAGTCTCAACTTGAATCTGCCACTACAAACGTATAAATTTTGTGCAAGGTGACACCTATTCCTTTGAATATGAGCTCTGTCAAGTGAGATTATTTTCTCCATGCAATAGGATAAAAGCTGTGATTTCTAGTGTCCCATTTCTAACTGAGACAAACATTGGTTAAGTAAATAAAAAGGAGGTAACCAGTTCTCATGGCTTATGTTGTACTCTGATCCTTAAAGAAATTGGCAAAGACTGTTCAGTCTGTCATCCCTTCATCACTTACCTGGCTGCACAACTGATTAGGTGGATTAGCAGGGGGAAAAAACATTTCAGAATCACATAAATATCTGGTCTGATGTGATAGAACAAATATTGATTCTGTTAGCAGTGACAGGAACATGAGGGAAGAAGATCCTGGTCCAAGGTACATAAAGAACCCATGACACAAAGGCATGCTCTACTAACAAGCGTATATTTTAATCATGATTATTTAAAGGGGACTTCACTGCCTTTGACATTAAGCAGTTAGTTACATTGGTGTGAAGGTTATTTTCAAAGTACTTCCAGCCTTGGGATAGTACAACTGTTCTAAAAAGTCAGTGCAGTTGCTTATGCCAGATCTATATTTAATTCCATATGTTAGCATATGGAGAAACATCCATTCATATAAGACAAAAGCTACACATAATACAACAATAGGAAGTTTATCCTGGAGAATGTTTGTTCCCTTACAGCTGGGAACAAAGCTGAATGCTACAGAGAACTAATGAGCATTGGGCTTGCTATCAAAAGCACACCAGATTCCCTACACTGTTGGGCAAGCTCCAGAAAGTCTCCCCCATCACCCTTGCAGATTCATTTGGATCAATACAAGTATGTGAATGCCAGAGAATACGTACACGATGTCAGCAATGATGCACCAAGGACAAAATGTCATGGGAATCCTTAAAGATACAATCATAAAATGGACACTGTCTCATTTTTTTATATCTTTTTGTTATTAACTTATATCAGATATTAGGGCACTCACTCCAACAAATGTTACTTTCTATTAACGGACTTAGAGACCATTATTCTTGTCTCTTGTAAACAGAGGTGACATTTTGATTCCAAACACCCACCTGCCATTCTTTGCATTCCTTATGCCTAGACAGTTCAAAAAGTGTGACTGCATTATACAGCTGCCAAAACTGAAAAAAAGGAAGAGAAACAATTTAATTAAAAATTTAAAAACAAGCATTTCAGGCTTAAACAGTTTCAAGCTACTGTAAATTAGCAAATGTTAATACAACAGGGGAAATCTAAGCATCATTTAGAAAGAGACAAGTATTTTAAAAGTTTAAATTGGCTGTAGAAATTAGTTCCCAGTGAATTATGATCAGTTGATCATCAACCATTAAACCAACAAAAATAAAGAATGATCAATTCATCCTGGATAGATTTTTCCATCTGTAATTTTGTCTAGAAGAGGAAAAAAATTCTTAAGTTTTAGTTCTTTTTCTTAATCAGAATTTGGTATCTGAAAGGCTGTATGATCTTAACTAATGTGTAGCATGTAGTATGTGGTGCCTGCTGTCCCAGTTGACTGTACTAGTGGGACAGGACACTATTCTGTCCCAGGGAGCCTAGTGCTCGATTTAGATTTCACAGAGATTACTCAAGTCAGTAAAGGCTGCAGGACTGAGGCTACAGTTAAACAAAGAAAATCCTAGTCAAACATTTAACATACCAGATACTAGATGACAGTCCAAGTCACAACGTGGAATGGACCTTATATTTATTAATTTAAATCACACACTTGACTGAAAATCCCTAAAGATTCAGCAAAAGCAGGAGGATCTAGCTAATACTCAAAGAAAGGAATGGAGCTTCATGCATGATGGAGAGCAAGAAAGGCAATCTGAGAGAATACCCGAGGTATTTAGAAGGGTAGCATTTGGGAAGCATAGGTAGTTGTGGGGAAAATGAGGGCAGAAATTTAGGTGGTGGAGGAGCTGGGCATGGTTATGAAACTAAAGCACTTAAAATTGTTGCATCTAAGCCTATACTACAAAATGCAATCAATTGTCATTGATCAAATATATCCCTGCCCCTGACAAAGAGAATAAAATACTCTCATTCCTAAATGCAGGTCCAAATTAAAAGGCAACCACAACAGAAAGAAAAAAGTTAGACCAATTTGTCCTAAGAAAGTTATGGGTTGTGGAGGACTGTGAGCAGGATTCATCTGTAGAACTGACAGCCTTCTAATAAGAAAGCCTTACTGGACACCCACAAGAAGTATCCTGTTTATTTTAATTGCTAGAACCATCATCAAGGCCAACTCCTTTGACAGGAAAGAAGAGCTGTAATCTCAAACACAGATCAACCAGATGTATCCTCATTAGGAAAGGAAAGCAAATTCTAGTGACTACAGATTCTGGAATAACCTGGGCTACATTTGTTGTCTTAATTTCAACCATTTTGCAGCATCTTTCTGCAAGGGACACTATTTTCAGTTCTGGGATGCAGTTACTACGCGCACTGTGTGATCTAAGACAACGACTAGTATCCTAGTGGTACAGCACTGATTGTCACTTTGGGTGCACATGTAACAGAGTAAGATGCAGCAGGTACTTTGAGCAACTCACGTGCCCAAAGAACAGGAAGGGAAGGAGAAACGTCAGCCCTCGCCACATCCAAGACTGAAATCCTTCTGTAAACACACAAGAGAGGATGTGAGCTTAAGGGCCAATACACACCTAGACAGAGGAACCAAGTTATTAAAAATAACTAACACTGTTCTTGTTTATAAATAACAATCACCCCAACCCCTGCATACCTGGAATTACTCTCCAGAAGCAATATCCCACCTAGGCTTGATTTTAACCCTGAAATCTAAACTCCAACCCAGCAGAGACTATCAAGTCCTGCCAGCCACCCCCTGCTGCATTTCAGCCTAAACTGGAAAAGAGGATGGAGGACAAAATTAATATTAGAAAAGATTGTGACAAAAGTTGTGGTGGGAAAGAGAGAAGGGAACCTAAGTTTGGTTTAACTCTCTTCTGACCTATCACCTTCCAGCACCATCTTGTATCATTGCTTGTTGCATCTTCAGATTGTAAACTTTCAAGGCATGGAATTTTGCATTCTGTGTAAATGCAACACAGACAGGGCTCGATATTAAACACTATGTAAAACTAGAATGTTTCCAGTTTACGTCATAAAACATCTATACCACTTGCACCTACATAGTCAGATTAAGACAGACAGGAAAGAGGCTGGTACTGGAATGACACTACAAAAGGTTTTGATCCGCTCTCAGAGTTAACAGGAAAAAAGGTGGGGGAGAAGGAGAGAGAGGGATATAAGGCTTCAAATCAATCAGCTGCTAAATACAACCCCCCAAAAACAGGTACTTGCAAGTTAAATATTATGAAAACCTCACCTACTGTAAGATCCAAGTGGTTTCTTTCCCCTAATGCACGAAGTCTATAAAGGCAGCCACTTTGGTAATAATATTGTAGGAACTGAACACAGCCTGGAAAATAAGACAACGAGTCCTTTCGTGCATTGGGAGCAAGGGGAAAAAAATCAAGTTGAACTAGCTACTTCAGCACAAACACCAAGAAGAATTAATAAAATTATCAGTTAACTTAGATTAATATTCAGGTTCCTCTAGGCACACAACACTAATGTGGAAGAAGCCTTCAATTCTAAGCATTGGCAAAAAAAGATATACTTACTTTGAAAAATTGAAAATGCTAAAAATTGATTGCGAAACATTTGATACATGAGTCCATCTGGCCTACGAGAGCAAAAAAACACACATGCTGTATTAGTTTAAGAGATCATTAGCATAGGGGGCTTTCCCTTTCTTTCAGTCAAGTGTGAGCCCATGAGTGCTAAAAGCAAGCAGAGCATATGCATACTGGAGAACAAAAACAACTAACAGGGTACAAATCTTAACTTACACCTGAGTATATGGCACAGCTTATGATGTCAGTAATATCCAAACATCCCAGTTCCGGTTCTGGGTTGTAGGCAATTCATGTCATCAGCCATTCCTAGGTGATACCTTTAAATGCCGTCTCTATCTATTAGTCAAATCAGAGCAGCTCTGTGTCTGATTTTTAATTAAGCTGTATGGTGCCTAAAGTAAGTGGAAAGATCTTTATATGAAATTTTCATAAAAGAAATGAGAGAACTTAAACCAAGGTTTCTTTATTAAGAAAGATAACACTGCAGAAGTTTCAAAAAGCAGGAGATAAAAATTAAACTCACTACAAAGCATCCGTGTGAAGGTTACTTTCACTTTGCTGAACCCGATTATAAACCAAGTGAAAAAGGTTCTAAATATAAATTCAGCTCATGCCATTCACCGTCTATATAAAGGCATTAATTTGCTTATTTTCTCACAAATTCCTTAACACTTTCTACACAGCAGGAAATGGGCAACAA